ACTAGAAACAGACGAAGAGACGCAAAGAAGAGAAGAATGAAGGAGGAGGAAGAGGAGGAGATTTAGAAATGGACAGCGAGGAAGAGAACCGACGTAGAGGAAGGAAAAAGGGAAGAGAAGAAAGCTACAAGATTAAAAAAAAAGAAAAAAAAAGAACGAGAAAGAACATAGAATAGAATAAGAATAAAAATAACAAAATATTTTTTAAATCACAATATATAATTTAAACCATTTCGATAATCAAAAATAAATCTCAAAAAACATTTAAAGAATCTTAAGAAAAAAAATCTCAAACCCTACTTTTTATAAAATCACAAAGAAAAAGAAAAAGAAATCGATTTAGAAGAAAAACTTAATAATAATAAAAAAAATCAAATAACTCTTTATTTGACACGACTGGAAATGAAACCTTAAAGAGAGACAATGTTTGACTGCCTTGAAACCCCCTGCCCGAGGGCTTCCCTACTCCACTGAAGGATCACTTGACTTTGCTTATATATTTTTTTTTTCTGAAAAAAAGGGGGAGGAAGAAGACCTTTTTTTCCCCTCCTTTCCCCTTCCTCCCCTCCCCCCTCCCTCCCCTCCCCTTCTTTCGAGGGAGTGAATACGCCTGTTGACTCTCGACCTGATATTGAGTTTCCATCTCCCGTTTAGACGCAGAAGGACTTTCATATTGCAAGGTCTACTCTTTTTTTATCAATATCATTTTTTTGATTTAGTTTATTTCCCCTTTTTTATTGTCAAGAACAGATGGCGATGATAGGTAGATTCGTGATATATTTGATCCTCACGTGGGAAAAAAAGAAGATAAAAAAAAGGATTTTCTCTTGGTGACCGAAAATCTTACATTGAAGAAGTGATTTGCTTCCGAATTACTACCATGGAGAGATTTTCGTTTCTTTTTCTATATCTCCTGCTGCACTCACCATGTCTATTTGTCTATATATCTTTAAATCTACTACAGGTTCTCTCTCTCCCCATTTATCCCTCTATCTATGTCTAAACTTTGTCTGTCTGTCTGTCTATCCCTGTATCTACCACTATACTTTCTCTATCTATCTTTTTGTCAATCTTTATATCTTCTCTTTGCAGCGTCTCTACATATCTATCTATCTATCTATATCTCGACTACACTTTCTCTGTGTAGCTATCTAACCCTGTATCTACTACTACTACTTTCTCTGTCTATCTATCAATCTATCTATTTATCTATCTCTATATCTACTACACTTCCACTATCTATCTATCTGTTTCTATATCCCTATATGAACTACAACATTATTTGTCTATCTACCTATCCACCTTCTCTTCACTGGAATCTATATTTCATACATACTATCTATCGGAGTACCTGTCTATTTATATATCTATATCTATAAGTAGCAAATTCTCTTCCTGTCTTCCAATATAGCAATCTATATGTTTGGCTGTGTACATATAAACAGATAGAAAGATAGATTAATAGATAATAATAAGTGAATAAAAGATAGATAGATAGATATAAAGATAGATAGATGAATAGATATAAAGATAGATAGATAAAAGATATAAAGATGGATAGATAAATAGATAGAATAGATAGATGGATAGATGGATGGATAGATAGATAGATATAAAGATAGATATGTAGATAGAGAGATAGGGAGACTTATTGTCACGTATATGTATATGTTTGTGTGTGCACGTGTGTGTGTGCGTGTGTACGTGTGCATCTCCCCCTCACCCTCGTTTAAGTATTAACACCCATAAAGCGATCACGGTGCATGACGAGAGAAAGTGGTTCCAGAAGTCATGACAGATAAACACAGCAAAGCTCTCACGGTGGCTGGTGAGCTCGAGCGGCAAAGCGCCTTCCCCTTTTCCTCTCTTCTTTCCTTTCTCCCTTTCTCTTTCTCTATTTCCTATCTCCCTTTCTCTCTCTCTCTCTCTCTCTCTCTCTCTCTCTCTCTCTCTCTCTCTCTCTCTCTCTCTCTCTCTCTCTCTCTCTCTCTCTCTCTCTCTCTCTCTCTCTCTCTCTCTTTTCTTTATCCCGTGCTCTTTCTCTACCCCTCCCCTCTCTCTCTTTCTCTTTTTCCCGTGCTCTTTCTATTTTTGTCTGTCTCTCTCTCTCTCTCCCTCTCTCGCCTTCTCTCTTTCCCTCTCTCGCTCTCCTTTCCTTCTCCCCTTCTCATTTTCTCTTTCCCATCTCCTCTCTTCCCCCCTCTCTCTCCCTCTCTCTCTCTCTCTCTCCTTCCTTCCTCTTTTTCTTCTTCTTTGGTCCCCTTCTTCTCTCTTCCGCTCTTGTTTTTCTCTCTCCTCTTTCTTTCTCTCTCCCTTCTTCCCTCTCTCTTTCTCCTCTTTCTTCCCTCCTCTCTCTCTCATTTTGCTACTTCTCTTCTTCCTCACTCTCTTCTCTCCTCTCTTATCTCCCGTTCTCCATCCCTCTTATCACCTCTCCCTTCTCTCCTTCTCCACATATCCATTTCGTTCTTCTTCCCTTCCTCTCCCCTCCTTCCTCTCC